TCACAGGTTCCCTCAGCAATCCCACCAACAAATTCTAATCAAACACCATTAACCTCATACAATCTTCACTGCAGGTCAGATTCCGCCCTGAAGGGGCACTATGGGAGCAGCTGCCAGCGCTTATAACATACAGGCTCACAGGGCAAAGATGAAAGCCCAGAGTCTGTAAAGATGACCTTTGTTTCCAACCCCTCCTCAGTGGAAAAACAGAGAGAAAACACAGAGCCTAGACCCACAGAGCTCTCCTACTTCTGTAAAGGAATACCTTCTAATGAAGCACTAGCTTACAAAAAACTCACTAAAATAACTTTCTGTCCTGCAGTTTTCCATGTAAAACTAAACCACACAACATTTCAAAGCAATACATTTTCAGTAGACTATCAAAATAATCTTGTGTTATTTTTTCCTTATTTTTCTAGTCCCGTTTCCTTCACTCTCAGCACTTTGTAAGGACATCTTCATGTGTCTTCAACATTATGTCTGTTGCAAAGTTTGGTAAACACTTAAAATATGTTGTTGCTCTCTTTCAAACCCACAATTACAGTTCACTTTACCAAAGGCCAGAGCACTTGGCTCATCCTTGTGCCAACTCAACTCAGACATACCGCGCAATGCAGCTAACTCCCTAGATGGGCCTTCCACCTCCAAATTTTCCACTTAAGCAAATTAATGATCAGGAAAGATGGGATACACCCAGAAGACAGAAAACCACTTATTCAGCAAGTCAAAAATGGATATGCTGGCACTGAAACTTATAGTTGAAAGTGAAATGCATCCTACAAAGAATCCCAGATTTCAGCTAACTACAGTAAATATTTCAGGGATGTCCCTAAAATGATTTTTACTGAGGACAAATAGTACTTTCTTATTAAAAGCGAAGAAGAGGCTGGCTTGACAGGGAACACAATTCTTTTATGCCTCTAATGGATTTATTCCCTTTTATTCAGTATTTCTCAGAAAGGATGTCACTTCCACAGAGAATTCTGCTGCTCTACATTTTAAGAAATCAAATGTTCTAGTGAAGCCCAACTTAAATTTCAGAAGTTGATAAAGAAAATGGAAAGGAAAAAAAAAATGCATCTAGTGGTTTAAAATGCTAGAATTCTTCAGACTAAAAGACAGCCGCAACTAGAAATCCTGAAACACACTGATCAAAACTAACTGTAATCTCGCATACCTTACAGAAGTAGGTGTGTTTACACTTTGCACGCCTATCTTTTCACATGCAAAAGACAACATCTGAAATGTATGTAACTTGAGAGCTTGCCCTGTAGTCTCAACTACCCTCCCAATAACTTAACCAACAAAAATAATAATTAACATAGGTGTTTCATAATCCTTCCAAAATATTTTCTTAGTAAGAAGGTAAGTGAGGATTGTTTTACCATTCAATAGAAAGAAAAGACTGTTTAAAGTGGGTGTGTGCCAATATATGAGAACTATTTTAAATGAGTATTTTTGCAGTAGTCCAGAGGATCATGAGCCTAAATATTGAATGCTCCCTAGCTACAAATTCGCTCTGCACGGAATCACTGTGCAACCCTGCACAGAACAGATGGAGGAAAGGAAATCTAGATGAAAATGACTTAAGCACCTTAACACTTGTAATTCTTTATTATTGAAGAAGCTGGAATGTCCCAAATGAAATTTAGGACAGAGACAGGCTTAGATGCACCCGTACTAAAGTAAGGGCTGTCTCAGAAGACAGCACAAAAGGCAGCAGCACAGACACAGTGAAGGGGCATACAAAGCCACCAGTGGAACCCTCACTGTGCTTGAGACTAGTGAGTGCTCAGGGGAAATTTCTTCCAGTGGCAACCACGCCTTCTAAAGTCTTTTTTGCTTAAAAGGATTTAGACAAAACCACGCATTTTACACCTCAATTTCCACCTTACATAAAATGGAGAGAAAACCTGGCTCACCAATAAAATAATAAAGGAGTTAAAGTCTCAGTTGCAGGGAAACTAAGTTTCACATGTTTGAGGTAATGCAACATGCATAAATAAAGTATACTTACCTAGCTTAAGCCGGTAAGAGTTTTACTCCAGCCCACATGTCAATATTTGATAATGCATGGAAATATAAGCTTTTAACACATACTGTGAGGAATTAAGTAACAACACAGCCTTGAAACTGAAATGAATGTTAATGCATGTAGAGGCTTTTTTCAGCCAAAAACAAACAAAAGGTACTACAAATCTATAAAACACAAATTGATGTTGATTCCTAATACACGTAAAATCTTACCCTGTATGATACTACAGTTTGCAGAAAACTGGCACAAGACAATATTTAACCTTGGCCTACAAGCAGGCATCACTTCATTAGTACAAATTAGTAATTTAAGGTATCAGGGGTAGATATAAGTTTTACACCAATTCCCAAGGAATGCATGCATTTGTGTGAGATATACATACATACTTTCTTTCTCATTGAGAACACCTGCATATACTTAACTTAGATGCAGTTTTCTTTCTAAGGCTAGTCTTGGAGCTGTCAATGTCATTTGGTAACGCCAGTGCTGCTGTATTTATAACGGTAGCAAAGGCTAAGATACACATTAAAGAGAAGCCATCACCTAAATATCAGGTAAAAAACCACATGATTTGTTCACAGAAATTAATTGATTAGAAATGAAAAATCATTCAAGTTTTACGTTTTGATTGATATGATCTCAAAAATATTCTATCACATATTTATTTAAATTAAAAAGTGGATAAAAAGAGGAGTGGCACACTGAGAATAAAGTCAGAAATGCAATTTTTAAAAGATACAAAAACATTCAGAGAAAAAGAAAATCACCACTGAAGTACATTACGTATGGTTAATGTGAAAATCTATCCTGAAAGAACTGGGGCACTAAAAGGAAGCAAACCAAAACAAGTTGCTATCTCATTGTATGAAAAAAGCCTGAAATGAAACATGCCTAAAGCATGATTTCTAGTTCACTAACTACAACTCATACCAAATCCTGATGCATATTGCCTATTCATCTGAAATACCACTACTACAACTGTTACATTAGCCATCTTTTAGTAGTGTTTTCCTTCTTCTCCTGTGTCCTTTCCTGTGTGCAACACTACCAAAAAGGCCGTGGCCACCACAGTTAAGCTTTCAGGAAAAGAGCATTAGCTGTATTTAGATGATGTGTTTCCTTTTCCTTTCTTTTGCTTTACTGGTTGCAAACATCCTAATAAAACTAACAGTGGAATGAGTCCCATTTCAAAGGCAGATCATTTAACATATCCTTGTGCTCTTCACATTTTTAATCTTTGCAAAACCTCCCCTTACAAACAAGCATTGTATTATGGCTGTATTAATAATAAAATGCCAAAGTGTCATTCAGAACTAGGAACCTCACTTGCAAAGCCACAGAACAAACAACAATGGTCTGGGAATGTATAGGGACTTTCTTTTGTTAAACATTCATACTAATAAATATGCAAGCATAATCATTAGTATGTTGTTTTGAACTGCAATGTTACTGAATTTTCTATCAAAGTTTTACATCAACACCTATTTCATCTTGGGGACACTAACTATTTGAGGGTAGAAACATCATGTCTGCTGCATATCACATACTAACAGCGCAGAACTGAAAAGTTTTTGATCTGTTTTAGAGGAAAAGGTAGAGATGGTAGGATTCTGTTCTTCTGGGAAGAGTTACTATCACATACGCAGATTTATTGGGTAAAAGATGGCAGTTTACATAGTACCTTCCACCTGGTAATAGGAAATAGCATCTCAACAGTTTACCTACAAACACATTTGATAAGTTAGATCCAAATTAAAAAGAATACAAAAGCTTTTCACATCAGGTCCTAAATGAACAGTTTCTCAGAAATAACACAGTTGAAAACTTAAAAATTCAAGCAAACTGCCTAAGGAAAATACTCTGCTTGGGTTTTTCCACAAAGCATTATCACAAAGAACTCTTTTTGGCAGGTAGACACAGTTCTTCAACACAATTATCAGACATCAAAATATTCCAGAAGAGCAATTTGCAGCTTAGCACCACTCCACTTTAAAACACTCCTAGCTACAGCTCTTTCATGAAAAGCCACAATCTCAAAGAAAACAAAACACAATCCAGTAACAAACCAAAACCAACCGCAATACACCTTTTGGAAAAAAAACCCACCACCTTTTCTAGAGTGAAGCAGCCAAGTGAGAACAGTAAAAGAAGGAATGGCCAGTATAGACTCTGATTAAGAATGAGGTGGATGTATCAAATGACCTCATTCTGCCAACTTCATGATTGAACTTAAACAAATGGGAGTTTTCCTCCTAATTTCTGTCAGAGCAAAGTACATCTATTGAGTGCATTTTAAAATTCTGACCTTTGTAAGGTAATCTTTTGCTCTGCATACAAAAACTACCACGGAATTCAGTGAAGAATAATACACTAAAGAAAGGATGTGCTAGTTTTGTGTAAAAATCAATCATGAACTCCAAAAAAGCTGGACACAAAGACTTAATATCTTCATTTGCACAGAATATATGTATTTTTTCATATATCAAGGTAATGATAAGTACTACAAATTAAGTACTTCCATATACTCAGCAAAATGCTCTCACTTCATTTTAAAGATAATTTCATTAAGTCCAGAAGAAAATGGTTAAAAGAGTCCCAAGCAGACCACACAATGCTGTGTTTTCAACTTCCGTACAGACTGAACCTTCAGTAAACCTGTTCAAAGTTGATCATATTTCACAAACAGAATTCCGGTTTTGCTTTTATAAATTACAGATCATTAACTTTGAAACACGCTTGTGTGCAAGACTCACCACATACACTCATATATTCATTCATTCTCTGGCCATATGCTACAAGGTTAGCAACAGTTCTCACTAACTACAAGATGTATGCAGGTTGGTTCTATTGTGTTTACTATTACAGCAAATTTGTTACTAGCTTAAACTATTTAATGGGAATTATTTTCATTCCATTGAGTCACTTCCCGTAACTCCAAATGGAATTTGGAGCTCAAATAACTTACCTGTGAACATAATGCAACTGATGAACTGAATCAATAGCTATCACCATTTCAGCCAAATAAAAACGAGCCATATCTTCAGGTAGTCTGTCCTCAAACTTGCTGAGCAATGTAAGCAGGTCTCCTCCAACATAGTAATCCATAACCAGGTACTATGGAGTGGGAATGATAAGAAAACACAAGGAGAAAAAACAAAAACAAGAAACAAACCATTTATTGAGGGAAGCAGAGACTAAAAACCAATTGAAGCTTACAAATTAATTTATTGCAAGCATTATCATGGGCATTAAAAAAAGCTAACCAAGATGCTTAGATGTTCTGAAAAAAAGTAGCTGTTTCAGCCTCATTTTAATATTTAAGCTACTTGAATATGTTTCATGTTTATACCTCTCCAAATACAGTAAGCCTCATGATGAAGTAGTATCAGCTTCATCCACTGTCCCACCACCAAACGTAAAATATTTAGATACTCTGGATTCCCTTGTAAAAACAATGCCCTTTGGTATAATGCAAAAGGAGTAAAGGATTAAAGCACAAACCTATAAAAACGAAACCAACTGTGTTAACTTGTGCTCTCATTTAAGGCCCCTAATTTCTCAGACTTCCCTTTCCCTTTTTTTCCTACCTACTTGTTTTTCCATTAAACAAACTATTTTAGAGAGTAAAGTTTTTAGACTCTCAGATTAAGGCAAAGATTAAGAGACTTCCAGTGGCTCACAGTACAAATCCAGATACTGTTGGCATTGTGCATAAAACAGGATCTGCCAACATACAGTGGAAGGAGTCACCGTCTCTAATTTAACTGATAGGAAAAAATACACTTGATTTCTAATTTATTAATGAAACATAAAACCTGCTTGCCATTGAATCAGGTGCAGAGATCAGAACCTGTCTCCATTTTATGATATTATGACAGAACATAATGTCACTTGCTTTAGAGACATGGATAAAATGACTGGATGAAGTAAACTTAAGAAAATTGGAAAATTCTCAATTAATATATTTTTATCTTAGTGTAGTTTCTTTTAATTGTGGAACAGGAACTGGAAGGGCAAAGGGGGAAAAGGAAAAAAAAAAATCAAACTAATTATAACTAACAAATTATAAGCAATCTAATTTAACACCCACTGCTATGACATTACTTTCAAACTACACTGTGGACAGATTAACTAGAATAGTTTCCCACTAAAGTATATAGTATGTGAAAGCTTTTGCCTAGAGTTCCAACCTCTGCTTCCAAGAAGGCAGCATATATACATATTTGAAACAGTGACTCTTAACAAGAGTATATAATGAATCAGAAATAATAAAAAATATTAAAGATGCAATAATGTATATCCCAATTTAAAATTTTGGAAATGCAACTTAAAGGGAGCTTTTATAATTAGTTCTCATTTGTTCAAGTCTTTCCCACCAAGAAACTAAATATGTGGAACAAATTCTGCTAAATTATACCAGCTATAAGAAAGATGTGGGGCAGGCAGAAATCTTACACCTGTTTCTTTTCCCTCATATTTTCCATAACAATAAATGTGACAAAAAAAGTTCTTAACAATTTGATCCAGAATAACCTGGGCATCCTCATTAATTCTAAGTGAATGAAGAAAGTACAAAATGCATTTCTACAAAATTTTACATTTGCTGACAGTCAAATTTTCATCTGTCGCTTTGTGACACGAATAGTAAACTTTTTAAATTTTGCTCACAAGCCTTACACAAGATAAGTATCTTCTATTTAGTGGTGTTCCTACGCTCCCTCTGAAACAAGATCTACAGTATTAGCTTCTCATGTTTTATGGTTTTAGAAAATACATTAATCATTAAGTTCCAAAGATTCCAAATTGATGTATTTTATAGATATCACCAAGAGCTTAAGTTATTGCTTGGAAAGTATATTGAAAAAAAGTCTTAAGATTCTCATAACTGATGTGAGATCCCTGCACTCATTCTTCAGCATTTTTGAACCAGTACAACTCAGTTTCTGGGTATACGAAAATAATGGAATTTTGGCTCCTATAGCACAGGACTCTGCACCTCCCATTCTGCAAGGAGTAGGACTGTAGCCTAATGACAATGAAATCTTAAACTCCTCAAATACACCAAGACTTAAACTGTAATTCACAGTATTAAGTCATGCACTTGAAGTTAAACACATGCATAGGAATCAAAGCTAAGTTTAACAATTGAATTTTTAATAAAACAATTCAGACAATGCATACATCCCATCAAGATCCATGTCCTTAAAAAAAAAAAACAGTTGTTTTTCTTCAAAAAGCTTTAAAAATACTTTCTAAAAATGCACACAATCTATTCAAGTCTCAAATAATTCTCAAAATACTACTGTATGATAGCACCATCCTTCAAAGAAAAAGAAAAAGCACAAAATTAAAGACATTACATTCTAGTAACTAGTGGAGGTTTAACATGGGCATTTAATCCTAAATCACAGACTTGTTTAGGTCAGAAGAGACCTCTTAAGATCATTTACTCCAACCTCATATGCTCAACTAGGGTCAGATAGAGCAGGTTGATGAGGACTGTGTCCAGCTGGGTTTTGAGGACCTCTAAGCATGGTCCCTCCAGCTCCAGTGTTTGACCATCTCCACAGTAAAAGAAGTGTTTTCTTGTGGTCAGACAAAAATTCCACGTGTTTCAGCTTGTGCCCATTGCCTCCTGTCCTGTCACCAAGCAGTACCAGCTCCCTTGTCTTCATTCCCTCCCTTCAAGTATTTATACACATTGAGAATAACCCCCTAACCCTTCACTTATCTGGGACGAAGAATCCCAGCTCTCAGCCCCTCCTTACATGACAGATGCTCCAGTACCTTAATCACCTTTCTAGCCTTGCACTGGACTTGCTTCAGTAGCCTCATCTCACTTTTGCACGGGGGAGCCCAGAACCGGGCACAGTACTTCAGATGCAGCTGCATCAGTGCTGAGCAGAGAGGAAGGAGCTCCGCTGACCTGCTGGCAACACTCTTCCTTGCAGCCCAGAATACTCTTGGCCTTTCTTGCTCAGAGGGTGCATTGCTGGCTTATGGTCAGCTTGTTATCCACCAAGACCTCAAGCAAAGCTGCTTTCCAGCCAGTTGTCGCCCCAGCAGATACTGGGTTTACTTTATTCCACCCCACACGCAGGACATTGACCTTCCCCTTGTTCAACTTCATGAGATTGCTCCCTGCCCAGTTCTCCAGTCTGCTGAGGTCCACCTGAAAGATGGCACAGCCATCTACCACATCAAACACTTCTCCCTGCTTTTTATCACCTCCAAACTTGCCGAGGGTGCACTCCATCCCACTGTCTACGTCATTAATGAAGACGCTGGCCACACTATTGAGCCCTGGGGTACACCACCACCGACTGGCCTCCACCTGGGCTTTGTGTCACTGATCACGACCCCCTGAGCCCAGTAGTTCAGCCAGTTCTCAATCCACCTCACTGCTGCTTATCTAATGCAGACTTTGTCAGCTTGTCTATGGTGATGTTACAGCAGACAGTGTCAAAGGCATTACTGAAGTCAAGGTAAACAACATCCCCTGCTTAACCTACACAGATTTTTTTTTTAAAGGTCACCTCTGTTACATTTTATTTTAATAAAAAGCACATAGAATTAGTGGTACTTTCACACTAAAATAATGAAAAACAGCATTACTGATCTTTTCCCCAGCAAGCTGAAAATCTAGCTCCTGTTAGCAGACTTTCGAAGATAAAGAACAGAAGCTGCTCTGTGCTTAGTGAAAATAAGGAAATCAGCAAGATTAAAACCAATTCTAGCAGGCTGCTGAGGAATATATAATGTTTTTTTTTTAAATACTGTTAATAGTAAGATCACAATTACATAAAACATGAGATTATTTTTGCTGTCCATATTAAAAAAAGCATGAAGCTGGATGAGAGGTATTTCAGCCAACAGTTAGATTCATAAATGCAGAGCCCTGCCTCTATATAAGCTCCACCAAAACCCATGAATCTGCAAGTATATGAGCTGAGAGAACAGAAAGCAATATAAAGGCAAAAAGCACTGCAAATCTGCAAGAATTCCACGTATAGCACTTCTTTTTATTGGACACACTAGGGGAAAAACAAACTAACAAACAAAAAACAGATAATGACTGCATAGTCATTTTTTAAGAAAAAATTAGAACTTACTAGTGATATAAAAATCCAAAGCACAGGACAATAAAGCCCAAATAAACAAAATCTACCAATGTTTAGTTATTTACTTTTTCAGGCATAAATATTACCAAAATCTTATCACAATCAAAACATATTTTAAGTGAGAAAGATTTTTAAAAAATTGGCACTTTTTCCTCATACTAGCTTCTTTTTCCAAGTCTTTCAAAATACTGGAAAACTAAATAACATTAAATATTAAAGAGACACTTTAATCTACAAATACAGCTTCCAATTCTTATTTATGAATATTTAGTGGCATTCTTCCATGCTGCAAGAACATTTTATTGTTTTATGACATCTTAGTGGGTTTAAGTCCTCAAAAAAGCAAAGGCCAATCAAAATGAACTGTTGTTTCAAAGCAGGGCTACTCCCTATTTCTAACTGTAAAACAGTAATCAGCAATGTTAATCACAAAACTTCAAGTCAAATAGAAAATCTATGTTAGTAAGTGCACTTTTTATATATCCAGTTAAACTGGAGTGACGAATTATAAGAGGAAGATGCAGATAGACCAAGGTTTATCAACAGTCCCGAAGTGGTTTAGAAAACAAAGCTGCATTCCTAAGATATTTATAGCAAAACTGAAGTTTCTGACCTCTCTCCACCCTTCAAAATCTTATGCATAAAATCACAGATCCTCACATGGTCTGTATGGTCCAGAACACAAAATTAATGAATAAAACAAACTATACTTCTGTCTCAAACCACAACTAAGAATCTGCATTACCATCCATATATACATAAAAGCAACACTCACTAAATAGTTTTCATCCTGGAATGCATAATGTAATGTTGTGATCCACTGGTTATCTCCATTCACTAACACATCTCTCTCTTCTCGAAAACAGGCTGTCTGAAGGGGAGAAAAATAATTATAGGCTTTAAGTAAAATATATAAAGAAACACATTTTGCAAGTTGAGTATGCTTTAACATGATATTTTGGGGGTTAAAAAAAAGAATCAAAACTCCCTCTCAGTTAAATAGTCATTTACTACACTCTCCAAACATCCCAAAATCTATGAAAAAGTGGTTATCAGAAAAGTCCACCCTCTTCAAACTTAAACAGTTGTACTTCTCCATATTGTTAAAGTGATGCAAAGCGAGAAATAAGCTGCTGAAAAATCGTAGGATAAAATCTTATCTTTTTTTGTACATATAGATATTGAGATCATGTATCAGTAATGACAGAAGAGCAATATAAGACGAAGAAACCAATCAATAATAGCTTTATATAACTGTAATAGCAGTTAAACAATTAGAATCTGCAGTCTTGTGTCATTTTTTTATCTCATAATGCTGTTAGTTTTACATCTGAATTTTCAAATAAGCAAGGTTCTTTTCATTTGAAAATAGCTGCCACTAATTTCCATGTAGTCATGATTTGATAATCATTAACCAGTTGGGGATTTCTCCCCACTTTTTGCTCAGGAAAAGTAGGACAGAACTGAATACTGCTCTTGCCAGATACAAGCTGTTGGTAAGACATCCAGGAGGACATCCCTTTAATATAAAGGAAGGCAGGAGGCAGAAGGTGCCTTCATAGCAAGCAGAACAGAGGAGAAACAAGAACTGCCAAGAAATGCTAAGGAATACCTAAGAGAAGAAGGCAACACAGGCTCATATGAAACAAAAGAAGATTTAATGTGAAGAAAATAACCAACTGGAAAGCAGCAAGGGAGTTAATTCAACAGAGGTTCTGCAGCCTGACCCAAGAAGTGAACAAAATACGTCACGGAAGCATTTTTGTAGAATGACAGAGGAAAATGACCAAACAGACGAGAAACCAGAAAAAGCTATAGCAAAGAAATATGATAAACTTTGAGGAGACCGAGTTCTCAAGTTAGTATCACAAGAAAACAAAAGGTAACAAATAGAAAAGCCAAGACATCATTTTGTTCAGAAAAAGCTCTAGAAGATAGTGTACAAAAAGAGTAATAACTGTATGGGCTCTATTTAGAAGGCAGGCAGATAGTTAGAGAAAAACATAGACCATAATCTCTTCCAGCACACCCTGCTACTTCACAAAGATGTTTCATCAATTTGAACTGTGCTCTGTGTCTTCCACATTAGGAGACAGCTAAATTTAAGCAAATCCAAGCCTTTTTTTTTTTTTTTTTTTTTAACAATTTCATTTCCAGAAACAATAGGCAGATACCAGAACTCTGACATGGTGGTTGTTGGCTGTGAGATTTGGAAAGTGAAGATTGAAAAGCGAAATACCGTTTCAGATTGAGCTATGCACAAATACACATGCAATAAAAACAGAGCAGAAGATAACCCCCTCCTCCCAGCAAATATATCATACCAAATCTTGTTTTGGTGAATACAGGGAGTAAGAATAATGCAGACCAGGAAAAAGAAAGATGGTATACTTTAATCATAGCATAATCATGCGATAAATCAGTGAAATTTGATAAAATAACAAAACATACTTCAAACAAATGCCCTCAAAGGTTATTAAATGAAAAATGGTCTTGCTGTTGGGAGAAGGAGAAAGGATGATCTTCAGAAGGAAGAAAAGCTGTTGTATGCTTCAGCTTCATTTTTTTTCCTTCCTTGTTTGTTAACTCTTGACATACTTCAGAGAGAGATAATATGAACTCTTGTTTTCACAAGGATAAATGACACCTAGTTTCTCCACTTGCTATGACAAAATTCACAGGATTACTTACTAGAGAGTTGCTACAATTCCACTTGTTTTTGCCATGATTTAACAAAAGACCATGCATTCTTTGAGCATTCTAGACACCCACCTCTGGGCAGTATGCCTAGAGCTGACTGCAACAGCTATTACCACAGTGGGTCACAGCTGAGACAGTAACAGCCGAAGAGTCCACGTGGTTCATGGGCTTTACAGTAATTCATGGGGGAGGAAAAAAAAAAGGTGGTAGCAGTGGTTCTTGTAATCATCGTAATATAGCTCAATTACTTTTTTTTTTTTTTAATGATATTTTTTTTTTTTTTTTTTGTGCCTTTCATTAATTCAACATTACACTCCATCTTCCCTAGGCAGAGTCTCCTCGAATTGTTGGCAGAGACCTCCAGGTCATGAGATCCACCTCTCTATCACAGCAAAGCCAACTTGGTGCTTTGATTCTATCTATACCGTTACCGTGGCCTTCAACCAGCACAGAGTTCAGGCTGCTCGGCTATTCGGTGCTCGTGTCCTCACAGCACACAGTTAGCACTTTCCAGGAGAGCTGCCTGCTTCCATGCTGCATATCATCTGCCGTGGTCTCTCCGGAGCCTCATCTGGCACCACTGTGGCACACGTGTAACTCTGAGTGAGTGTCAACACTCAGGGTAGCAGGTCTGGGAGCGTAACAGCAAGCTGCCGCACACTTTCGGGTACTCCTTCTCTTGGTACCATCCCCAGTGGTACACCGTATCTCCGAGTTTTCAACAGTGGCAAGTATTTGGAAAACTTATGCTCTTCATAATACAAAAGAGAACACTGACCACACAACCCATATAACTTCATTGTAACCAAGTTTTTGCATACAATTACTCTCAGAGCTTGCAGTCATCCACCTTAATCTGGCATTCGCAAGCCTTTTTTGAGTACATACTCCCTTTCTGCTCTTAGAAGTAACTCCCACTTCCCACAGATCTGATATATGGATACATGAACAACTTTTTTCTACCATTTATATATATATACCTACTTATACACTTGTCTTGCATTTTTGGACTATGTGATCTTCCTGTGTATTTCAGTGTTAGTGTAGGCTACCTCTAACAGAGCCAAAATGGGTTATTTTCCCTAGCAGTAGTAACAAGTGAGATGTGTTCATCAACATTTAAAAATGACCGGTAACAGTTGTTGAAGGTCATGCTTTCTAATGCATTTTCACTCCAGATGGTTCTATTTCTACTGTATAGCCACAGGTTTCAAATACATGGAAAAACATAGCTGTAATTCTTTTGAGGCTAACGGTTCAGTCTTCCAGAAATTCAGCTGGACCCATGGGAAGAGTATTTTTAATACCTCGCATAGATAAAAATCTTTCAAAACTATTTATAACTGTATGTTAATGGAAAGAAATAAGAAATAGCTTTTAAACTAACTGTAAAAGGGTACATTTAAAATTAGAGTAGAACTTCATTTCTGGTTTTTTCTTTGTCACTGAAATAATAAAACTTACAGTAATGACATCTGTCTTGGAGAGAAATACCGCTTTCTACCGAGACTAACACCAGATTACTCAGTATCTGAATAATTTCTGGATAAAGATGAAATACATTGTGTGCGTCTAACCACAATCTGCATGCCATTTTACCTCTTAATGTGGTAACATTTTCATTAAAAGAGACAGGATGTGCACACATCAGAAATTGGCTTTAATTTGTCTAGATACATTTTTATTTTTTTAGAAAGTGTGATGGTTTCCCATTGATCTCATTTCCTAACAAGATATAATTAAAACATAAATGCAGAAATCAGAATAAACTTGGAAGCAATTGAACAGCAAGAGCTCAGAGTAGCAAAGCAGGAGTCTCAAATAAAAACTAGAAGTTTATAGAAGACTAGAGATAATTCAATCAGACAAGTTGGAAGAGACACCACGCTAGTGTTTCACTGTCCAAACTACAGAAAACCCAATGGCCAAAGCAACTTCATATGTGTAAGTCACTGAGTTACATTTTTATGAATCTGTTTTTCAAGCAGTTTCTTTTAAGTATGCATAGGTTAAGAACTTCAAAGCAATTTTGAAGAGTTAGAAAGATATTCTGTTTAAAATTATTACACAAGTCTTCAGGTGTAGCCTGCATTTTGTAAGTTTCTTTCCAAAGGAATCCAGGGAAATGTACTGAGGATTTTATGAAGAGTGGAGTTATATAGTGAAAGTAGAAACCCAAGGCAAAGCAGGGCTGATGAGAGCTGTTCCACCTTTTTCAGAACACAGCATGGATTCAAGCTTTAACACGGAGCTTTTCATCACAAATTTCTGCAGATGGACATTTTTACAAAACATGCACTCAAATTAATTTGAAACTTTTATCTTTCTGATTTTTCAGCCTACAAATTAGAACTTGACTAACTACTGATAAACTAATAGGCTTGATGAGTTACAGCTCAGTAATTGCCTTTCACCATGGAAAATACTTGCTAAAGACTACATTCCTAACTGGAATGAATGCATTAAAAGATTGCTTGTATAGTCAGTAATTCTTGGGCAATTATAGAGAAGTTATAATGTCTAAAACACCCAGCCCCATGTAAATCAAGATTCCATGCCATTTTAACCCTCCTGATGAACTCCTTTAATCTTATTTTAACATTAATCTTCACATCATCAGTAAGGAGTGAAACACCTCCTCAATCCCAATATACACAGAGACTGGTGGAAAGAGAAGTAACAATTCAGCAAAGCAAGAGGGTGCATGATTATGGAAAACAATACTGTAATCTTACTTCAGCTCTCTTCAGCATCTCCCACTTATTAAGTATCTTCATGGCAAAAACCTTATCTGCGTTCTTCAGTTTTACTACTGCAACCTGGAAAAGATAAAGAAGTTAAAATGTGAAAACACATATTGTTTTCGTTTTTATGAAATTGCAGTTTTGGAGATTTTTTCTTCAGTGCTCCGGACACTTAGCTTTACTATCCACACAATACCATACCACTGCCATCAAGAAAGAGTAACATCACAACAGTACAGCGTATTTATTCTGTGAAAATTCCAAGTTATTTTAAGCTTTCATTGTGTATCACAATTTCATTATATTTATCTACAGTCACCTAGAAAAAAAAATAATACAATGTTATTTCTCACCATCACACTTTTTACTCTGTCATACTATTATGAAGCTATCACTGGCTGTATGCTTTCTATTCCTGGACTTTAGTTCTACATACTAATTTAAAGTACAGAAGTGCCAAGAAAATACAACAATGTACAAGTTTCTGAAACAAAATAAACAGTATCTTTAAGGTTTTAGACACAAATTAGACTGTAGGTTTGCCATAAAACTTCCACTCTCATTTCAAATAATGCACTAGGCTTTCTTCAAAGATATAGAAAAGCATTACTTAACATTTTTCCACCTGAAGGTCAGTGAGCTCTTTATCATGTCTGTTGTCAGTGGCAGGGAAACAGTGAAATCCACATTTTCTAGAGAAATAAAACTTAAGAAACACAAGCCCCCTCTCCCTCTCATTGCTTCTGAAACATTAGATACCATACGCCTATATAATAATAAATTAACAATGGCAACTGATGCAATCCTTTTCTGAGAATATTACAGTTTTCTTTAGCTGTAATAAAAGCTAACATAGAATATTTTTAGGAAAGAGAGAGGGAAGAAGTTTACACAAACACATTTTCACAGCTCAGGCTTCCCTGGGTGGGGAAAACTCAGTGTCTTACCTAAAATGGCCATTAATCTGCCACAGACTCAGAGCTACTGAGACCAGACCACTACACTACCATCCCAACTGTGGAAAAGTTCAACAATCAGTAAGTTTTTAACAACCATTCTCCAACTATCCCATTCTGCCTCTTTTCCTTCAAATAAACCTTAAGGCTTAAACAGATAAAAGTTTATTTCTGTGTGCATCTGGTTACAAACCAACATGCCGTCACACAGATTATCATCATCTTCATCCTGCAGGCCAGTGACAAAAAAATACTGAACTGGAATCCTACATTCCTTCCACCACTTTCATAATCAGTAAACCAGCTATATGTGAAGACAGCGATAACTGAGAAGAAAATACAGGATCAGACAGTTTGAAGAAAGTGTCATACAAACCTCTTTCAACCATCTTCACACATGTCATCAGCTGCAGCAGCTTCATGAACATGGCAAAATCGCAGGTTGAAGGGCTGCAATACTCACATGTCTGAACTAAAGCATATCTAGAAGTGTATCTCTTGCTTAGCTATAGATTAATATGGGAAGTGACAGCTGCTTCACCTATGTGCAGCAATGCATTATCAGCCCTGCTCTTGACACGGCTGCCTTCTGGGGTCACAGGGTGGTGGGAGTGGGGGTTGGAGATAAAAACAAGGAGAGAAGACAGAAAGGTACTACATTTACTTGTTTAAACTAGTTTATGAACTGAAATTTTTAACAGTTACTTCATGCATAAAACCTGAGATTTAATTCCAGACTTGGGGATCCCTTGAGTTACATTCAGATTTGAAACACAAAAACATATTGTTACTTTAGATTGTAATCCACTTTTAATGCATAAAGAATGTCTGCTCTCCTGTGCATGGTACCCCAAGACTGAGCACCACACTTTTCTTTAGGCGGGAAAGATGAATCCTCTGCAGCGATACATAACCCACAATGCAGATTCACATCTTGAGTCTCCTTTTACTTTACTAGCTAAAAGTAGCTTGAAATTCTGATAAGCCATATCTGCATTGATTTCTAATAAGAAACGGCAGGAGCAAAAAGCCTTAACGATGAAACTAGTCAGCATTCAAACTGTATCATGTCTTAGATGGCAGGGACCCCTGCATGATGCGATCTGTGGTATAAAGCTATGATGTAATTCCACCCTAAGTACCCTTAAGGGTTGTTTGACTGTTGTAGGGAAAAATTAAAAGGTTGGTCCTAGAGCTGACCAGACTGCCGCTGCTGCCCAGCATGAAAAATAACCTTTTCTACACCATTAGTCATTGTAGTATAGGCAGCCAGAGGCATAGGATAATACATGTATTTCAAATCCAACTTCAGGATTTCACTTCTCACCTGCAGCATGCTCACTGAAAGGCTGTGTTACTCTGCAAAAGACTGTTACTGAAAGACATATGCTAATTGCACAGCTGCCTAAATTGGTAGTCTCCTATCCAGCAATCACTTGGACACAACCAAAAAAGATACAGCACTGCCTTTGGTTAACAGCTGGAACATAGGCCTTCAATTACAAGATCAAGGGCTTGTTACCTTCTGTGCATGTGTAATAGTATTGAATAATGACTAAAGAAGAAAAACAGACTCATGTTTACCAGCTGTGTTTACAATCAGTCGGAAGCAGTCTTTTAGTCTGTGCAACCCATTAATGTTATTCCATATCAATAACCACCACACACACCAAAAAAAAAAAATATCACAAGCAATTTTTCTGCAATCACAGCATCTTTTGGGGAATCTCTCAGTGCTTTAATAAAGTAAATTCTAAAATGCTTATTTCGGGACTGTGATAGAAAAACCTGACACTTTAGCAATGAGCAGTCTGATGCAGTTTCTAATTGTAACAAAAAATTCTGAAACATGATTACAGACCCAAGCCGTGTTTACATATACACACAGAGGTATAACCTATGTACATAAAGGCCCAAATAGAGTTCTGTTTTGATCTTCTCCCTTCCCCAGTGAAGCTTTCAAGACAGAAGAAGTGATTATCATTCCTGTCTAGTTATCCTGAAGTGTCTTGATACTAGAATTTCTTAAAGTTGGACTTTTAAAGGTTGGAGATTTTTTTAAATTCCTATTTTCCTGTGAGCAGCCCAAGAAAAAAATGACTGGTATGTGCTGATGTAAACATCTTGGTTTAGTCAGATAGTTTGTTTGGGTTGGTTTTTTTTTTTTTTTTTTTTGTTTGTTTTTTGTTTGTTTTTTTTTTTTTTTTGTGTTTCCCCCCCCCCCCCCCCATTCTTCCAACAGTTTTCTGTATTTCCCACAAACAGCAGCACAGTCTGGCATGCTGTCAGACACTTTCTGCCCCGAACTTGGCTACTTGTGTCTATGGTACATGTCTGCACATTCCCTTTGCTTAAAAAGCAACAGCCTAATACAGAAAAAAGCTAAAACAGAAACTATTCAAGTTGAAATTAAAGAAAAAATTTTAAAAAGTAAGAAAAATAAGAAAAATAAAGACTCAGCATTGGTTTTCTCTTTCATCAAGAGTAGGCAGATCTCCAGAAACAGGAAGAGGGAATGCTACTGTTCAAAACTGGATGCCAAAACATAGGAGTAACTAACTAGTTCTCAGAGCTACAAAATTCATCATCTTCAAAATATCAACAACATAACATAACGTTTGTTTGCATAAGCAAGTACTGAACTTTTTTTCCTAGAACCTTCAATAAGCTGCACTTTTATGCTGCTGAGAGCTGTTGCCCAGATGCTTCACCTTTCTTAGCTGCATTCTTCAACTCTCAAGTTTAAAGTCTTATTGTTTAGAGCTGTTTAAATTTTTCAAACCATGCTGCCCAAAGTCAGTGCAATGAAACACTTGATGCCCGCATTATTAATTTTACCAGGATAATTCTCCTCCTCCAAGCAAAACATCTGTGTTTTCTAAAGACAACACTCTCTTACATAAAATTTTAAATAAGTAAATATATGCATGCAGAGGGAAGGGGCATGTCATTAATTTGACAAAAAAGAAACATTCTTAGACTGGCAGCAAGCAGCGTATGGGGAAAAAGAAAACTAGGAACAATGAACTTTTACAGCTGTAAGCAACAGCTACTTTAAACTACTTTTTGTTTATATCAAACTTGTTAAAACAAAAAGGGAAATATTTGACTATGCAAATTGAAGAAATTGAGTAGCGTAAAATCAAAATAAGAACAAGTCTGAGACCATGCCAAAGAAAACTTGCACTAACTTTGTAGTCTACAGAATTTCAGAATTATGTTGATTCAGGAGTCAAAAATTACTCCTCCCAGTAACCTAGAGCAACTTTGGTCTCATTTGTAGTTTGCTGGAAAGAAAATACATTCTTCCAGACTCCTTAATGTGTTTTAGTAAATTACTGTAGTCTCCTACATCATACAAGTATTTTGAAAATTAATATTGACATAGTTTTTGGTGGCTTAAGTATTAGTAAAATTTGGTAGTCCTTTTTTCAACCTTGTTTGGATATTTACTGGTTATTTTAAATGATAATTAGTAATGTCATACAGTACTTGTTTTCTTAGACAAATGTCCATGTAGGACTTCAAACTTGTCTTCTTCAAGCTACTAAGGAAATTTAACATACAACCTTGCAAATATTTAGTAAGTCCTACTTTAAGAACATGGAAAACCAAACATCTTCACTGAGAGAAGTTTACCTCTTACTGAAAATTTTGATAATCAAGTTGTGCTATCTTTCTCAGATAAGGAACTAGAAAGAAAGCACTGTTCCTAAAAGAGGAGATCTAACCAATTGCACAGACTGTCCCCAGAAGAGGATGGGGAAAGTTATGTTCTCACTATTCATGGGGTGATTCATCACAAAAAAGCTTCCTGAATAAGAACTACAGGTTTTTTGTGGTTTAGCTGCTGTGGAGTTTGATGCTGATTTAGCAGACAAAAATTACTTCTCTTAAAAAAAAAACAATGTAAGGCAGGTTTCATATTTGATTCTTCTGACAAGTAAGCTCTAACATCAGTGATTTTTTTCTTGTATCTTATACAATCTGTAAATGAATTCAGCTGCAACTACTATGGCAGCACTGAAAAAAAGACAATGTTTTAAACAGAAGTGTTTACATCATAATGGAGAATGCAACATTCTCTTCGTGACAGAGGTTCAGACTAAAAATAAATTATCAATGAGTAAGTTCAGCCTTCAGTCTCCTTTATAAAGAAGCATTACTCCAGATGAAGCAAACCCAACCAAAACTGATAGAGTAGCTAAATAAATACTATTATTTTATTGTTATATTTACAGTTGGCCAATGATGATATTTGCATGTAGGCAGAGTATGTAATAACTTACACTACAGTAAAAATTCCTGTTCCTTCCATACTGCCTACAGAATTCTATTCTTCTGTAACCACAGACTAGTAAAGACTAATTCTCACACATTATGCAAACATGTGCCATAGGTTCTCCGAAGATGCTTTCGTACCAAAGAGAATGGATTAAAAAAAAAAAAACAAAACATAAAGAAACCACGTTTCCTGTTCCAAAAGCAATTAAGACATTGCTCAGAGAAATCTCTTCCTTACACTTTGGGTTTCAGTTCACACATTTTCAGGCAGTATGGAGCACCTTCTGCAGAAGCTCCACATACTATCCCCATCTGTAGTATATTTGGCTATCAAACTCAAAGCACTGTTACACATTAGGTTGCTCTTTCTACATACACAGTGTCCTGCATGAAGAACAAAGCACATGCACTTAATATAATTAAGAAGGGGCAGAAAGCTAATGTTTATTTATTCAAGTTTCCTCAACCTATATAATCTGGTATGACTGTAAAACCTATAGATCAACATCCTTGTCTGACAACTTCAAGTAAGAGATGGGTTAATCAGAAGCAGTAAAAAATTGTTTGATAGCAGCAGGTGACGACTGAAAAAGAAACTAATATTTGCTAAACTCTTTAAAAGAAATACAGGAAAAATATTCAAACATTCATTAAAGATAGGAAATGAAATGATAGGAAAAGAGAGATTTATATGTGTTCTTAGAATATCAGTATTGATATTTGGCTATTCAAGTTGCTGAAAGCTACTTTTAGACTATTTAGTTACTAGTATGATTAGAAATGGCTAGATCTTTATGCCATCAGTAACTCACTGGCCTCCACCTACTGACTGGAAAGAATTACAGTCAAGCAAATGATTTATCACACATTTGAAACATGATCTTTTAATCCATGTGAATTTGCCTTCTCTCAAAATCTAAAAGGCTTAAAAAGAGCTGTCAAAGAATGGATAAATCAAAATGTACTTGCATCAAACATTAGGTAGGCCTACAATATCCATTATACCTAAATAATGTAAAAACCTGTACATCAGTATATCACTATTAACAGTCTTTCCTCAGTGCCGCAGATTTGCAGAAGTGTCATTCAAACCCTTCCATCCACCTCCTTCACATACATACCTCCCCAAAGGCTCCTCGACCTATCACCTTCAGGATTTCAAAATCTTCTTTATGTAGTCGCATCTGCTTCACTTTAGATGTAAAAGGTTTGGCTGAAACAAAGGAAAGTATCAATCATTAAAAAAATCCAAACAAACAAAACAACACACCAAAACCAACCAAACAAAAAAAAAACCAAAAAACAAAACAAAACAAAAAAAAAAGCAAGCAACAAGGTAACAGTAACATAAAATAGATGTAATCAGAGCCCTGAAAACATCAGACCATTTTGCTTCTGTACCTATATTCCCGAATACAATATAATGAAGTTTACAGCTAGAAATAATGACCAGTAGGAACTAAGCCAAAATTGCTGGGAGAAAAAGTTTATAAAGTAAGCTTATTTTTGCTATTTTGTAAATAAAAATTAAATAATAGTCAAGCTGACTATATTATTTTGCAGTCTTTTGAGTTCATGGACATCCATTGCATCTGGGCTATATGTTGTTAACTCTGGTTGCAAAAGCAAAGTGTAATGTAATGAGAGGTTCACTCTGGACAATATTAATTCCTCTACCAAACAGCAACACGCTATTCTATTAAATTAAAAATTAAAATGCTGATGAATCAGAACTGGAAAAGCAATATTGGCCTAGATGATGTATCATGCAATATTTTTGGAGACCACTTCTTCAAGATAGAGGACACTTAATAGTCAATTCTTGGCTATTAATAAGTACTCAAGACATTAATAACACATTCAGTGGAAAAACCCCATGTATATAAAGTCCTGTTTTTTCCCTCTTTTATATCATCTTTGAAAGCAGTAAGGAAAATAAGGCATTGTATCTAGCCAGGTAACGATAGTGTTCTCTGCAACGCAACAGTATCAGGAGGACTGCTCCCCTCTTCCAGCCCCATTAAGCACCACAACTAAGAAGTCCCAAATTATTAATACATCCTTTCAGTATACATGCAAAACATCCAAGTTACTGATAACTCTACCTCAAAAATCATGTAATACAACCTTTACTAAAAAAGAAAAAAAAAAAAAAACAAAAACAACAACAAACAACAAAAACCCCACCCCAAACTTTAAATAATTAAGCAGGAAAAGGAGTTCTTTTAAAAATATTTTTTAATACTTTACATATATGAAATCTTTTACTAAAATGTGAGTTTCAGTAAATACAGTTCATAGAAGTTGCCCATAGAAGAAGACTGTATAACCCCGTGTACACAGGACTGGAATGGGTCTCAGAAAGGGTTAAGTTCAATTTCTGGCTCAGAGGCAGTCTTCCTCAATGATCTTAAACAAGCAGCTTCAGATAATTCACCCAGTTTGACATCTATAAAACAGCAACAGTATTTTTGTAATAGACAAGGCACTGACCATCACATACTTGGATCAAGACAGACACAAAAAAGCGCACTGTAAGGTAGCCATTTTACGTGGCCCACACAAACCACAAAAGCTCTCCTGGTACAGGGACCCATCTATGTCCACTTCTATCTATACAAAGGCTGATGGAATTAGTACAGCTTTATTTGCAGTGAAGAGTTGTAACAGGCATCATACTGCAGAACAGTTTGTTCAGAATAATGTTTCTAAACAGAAATGGGAATTGGTTCTCAGAAGCTCCAAAAGCAACTGACCCTACATAACAACCAAATTACATCTAGATACATGTAAGAAACCTGATTTGCATTCTCCTAGAATTGAGTACTTTGTTCTTCTAACGTTATGAACTAATCCTGCTAAAAAAAAACCAAACCCTAATACCGATACAGATAATCCATCAATTTAGAATTTGTATAACACACAACCCTTCAAGACAATACAAAATCCGTGTCCAAAAGCCTACTATTCAGCAAAGCTATTTTATAAACAGACAAGACACAAGCTACCTGTAGTTTCAACACCTAAAAAACCCCACAAAACTTCTTTATCCTAGAGTCCTTAAACTAGCATTGTAAATCACATCTGAAAAAGAACAGTGCAAAAATGCAGCGTCTTATGTTTCTCCTTTTAAGCAATACAGCACACCTCCACTAATGTTAGTGATAGAATAGATGAAATCCTTTAAAAACCTCAGAGGTTCCAAACCCTGAACTCAGTCAATTTTTCTAAAATTCCTTGATGCCAGAAATTAATTCTCTACATTTGTTGTAACTACAGCAACATCAGCTTATGATTAAAAAACCTAGGATTTTGGTCTTAAATACTAAAGATGCAGCCATACAACACTGAGATATTCACTTTAGTGATATCTCTAAATGTGTAACGATTTTATTCAAAATATTTAATTCTAGAATTAAAATACACATTCAGTATTACATTTAAAATGTAATTTATACAGAAGTAGATTACTCAAGTTCACAGAGATTCCCCAAATTTTCAATTATCTTTTATACCTTGCAAGAAAGGTCTTGCAATAGAAAAATAAGTAACAATAAAATGTACTGCCTTAGAACAGCCTCAGCTGTACCGTACCAAGTTATTTAATACAAATATTAACACTACTGACAAATACTAGTGAACAAATTAAAAGATGACATTAAAGTCTTTTAACTTGAAAAACAACTGATTGAAAACAAATGTGTAGTTCTCAACTTCAACATTTTTTGACCATTATAGGCTTGGCTAGAGTACAAGGCAAAATATCTTGTTAACAAGCAACAGCATAGCTGTTTAAACCACAAAGCTCTTCCTCACTTTATATTGTAAGGAAAGGCTTCTCATTCTTTAATTACTGCATTTTGGAATCTTCCAGGGTTCCCATAGGGACACTGGAAAAATAAATATAACTACTTCAGTAAAATACAGCTGACAAAAAAAACATTTGGATTAGGTTTAATGATTTGTAGTATCAGTGTTAGAGGAAAAGTCTGTAAACACTTCTCTTAAATTTCGTTATCTTCTCTAGCAACAAACATGTCAATGTATAGCCAAGCAGTTTTATGAAGAAAGATAAAGTCCAAGAAAAGAAAAGAATGAAAAAAGAAGGGGGAAAAAAAATTGCCTTAGGAATGTGCTTCAAATAGCTTGTTCCAAAAAAGGTCAATTTGCTTTATCATCAATGTTGTTTGTCTGCTGTGCAAACATCTGCTGTTCTTGTGGCAACAACAATCTTAAATACAGAAAACTTGGCCTGGCCAAGGGTCTCGGAAGGCCTATCTTCAGAGAGCTGTTTCATACATCCAGCTTTCCAGACTATGAGGTTAACAGGCAGACTTTCTGCAACTAGTTTGGCAATGTCATACGAGCTGTTATAAAGAGAGCAAACTGTAAGGTCAGGGAGCGGTTTTCAAAATGCAACATGCTCAAAGGGGTCCCTGCAACACAACTTTGTCAAAACATACAGGTACACAAGCCCTTCCCTGTTTACATCCCCATGCCCCTAAACAGAATCATCACGAAGTTAACAGAAAACAACACCCTCTTTTTCAGAAGGAGCTGCAGTTTCCTTAATCATTGGTACATGAGTGACACAGTCTTTGCTGCTTTTTGAGAGCAAAAGGCAGTGTGAGGGCATTTCCTTTGGTACTTCATTCAACCTACAGAAATACACAGAGGGATAGCTGATTTTTTCCACACAGACTTCCCTTTTCAAGGTTGCTAGTCATGTGTGATACAGATTAGGGACTAGCAGTTTGCTCTGCCAAATCAAATTCTTTTTCCTCCAAACCAGAGGGTAAGTGTGGGCAGCATGTCCCCTGGCTCCTCCTCGATTTTCAACTCCACAGGAACCAAATTTCATTACATAGAACTTTCAAATTTGCCACTGTGTCCTCTACAGCCACAAACTGACAAGTCATACATACGGTCTATGGAGGAGGCTACTGCCTGAGAAAACTGCACCACCATCCCCTTGGCAAGATTCCTTGCACTTATTCAATCAATTACACATGGTAAGAAAAAACCTCACAATCTCTCAATTCACCCTCAAGGGGAACCAATGTACTGAAGTAGTAAGCTAGACTGTTTTATCAAACAAGGTGAACCTGTCATGACTATTCCTTCAAGTTATTTAAGTCTCTGTGGGTCTTTACCCACATTTTATGTTCTAACCATTCATTCCATTTATGCTTATAATGTATTCAAACAATAACAATTAATAAAAGAAGAATTCTACAAGTGTTTGAAATTTAGGGTTTTTCCAGTTGAATTTTGACTAGAACTTCAGCTGAAGTAACATGTTAAGAACATAGAAAAACACCAGGACTCCAGCTGCCAAGCAAGGCACACAAAGCAGAGTACATTCTACCCTCTGGCCCTGAAAAGGGAGGCTTTTATTACAACTGTCCAGCAGAAGGGAAGCAAAACAACGGATTCTGCAGTAGTGATATTGAGCTTCAACAGTCTGTTTATCATATTTATGAGGAGGAAGGGGTGACAGCAGTTACTAGCATTACCTACAGCATGTTTAATATCAAGGGGTTTAAGTTTTTAACTCTTGGAGATTAAAGTCCATCTCCTGAAGAGCTGACACAGGGAGGACAGCGACACGGTTGATAACCCAATAGATTTTAGGGTACTGTGATTATATATGATACCAAACAACATCAAAATAATAAACCAGCAACATTGGATGCTTTATTTGCAAAGTTAGTCTCATGCTCCTACCTTGTTCTCTCTCCCTCCAGCTCCCAGTTTCTGTCTGCAGAGCTTGGGCAGGCTAGCCCTGAAATTCAGATTTTTCAGTGCTAACCTGCTGTTGGGAGTTGGTGGGAACTAGTGTTGAGCTCTTTCCTCCTCCCTCATCTGCTAGTGCCCCTTTTCCCCCTCCAGCAAAACACTGCAGCAAACCAGAACTGCTGTAAACACAGGTTGAAATTAAACCCAGCTGAGACGAAAATTATATTGACTGTTTAAAGAAAGTGTTGTGGACTGGAGCAGCAATTGAAAACGGGACCCACAACTGATTTAAATATAAAACAAAGCAGAATAGGACGGTGTTGATAAATTCCTCTTGGTGCCTCACTTCATGCTGTACTTGTTTTTTGGATATGATAGGCTGGCTAGCTGCTCATAGGGAAGACCATATCCTCGACCTGCAGGTCTCAGTAAGATGCCCATGTCTTACTTCCCAAAGGAATCACAAAACCTGCT